TCTCACCTCCCCCACTCCGCCTCACCCTCGCTTGAGCAACAGCGCGATCGACTTCGTCGACAACTCGATTCTCTTCGCTTCATTCGGTTGCGTTTTTTTTTTTTTTTTTTGCAATCCCGCCTTCTTTGTATTAGCGAAGGTAATTAAGGTGTGATAATGAGCGAAGAAAGTAGCCCCATAAATTCCAGTTCCATTTTTTCTTCAAATATGCAGCGATCGAATATTTTTCACTAATGAATAGTATTGGTGTCTAAGGATAATTATTTTTCACGAATACCGAATATAAGACATGAAAAGAAACGTTGATTTTTTTTTAGCTAATGATGAGAAAGTACACGATTTATTAGTAACGCAACTTTCCACCGTTAAATCTATGCAGCAGTATAACATGCTTTTATATTATGAAGTGATTGATATACAGGAAATCTTAGTTTTCTGTTTAAAAACAAAAACAAAAAAGTGGAAGAGGCCATTAAAATTTAAAATGGACATGAATGTGAGATGTCGGAAAGTTTTAAATGTGTGATCACATGACTACAGTAGGCCTTTTGAACTGTTTATCATTCAAGATGTATTGATGTACATATGATGGTCTTACTGCAATGTATTTATGACATTCATTCGTCTGCAATCGCGTAACATGAGAAGTTTGTTAAAGTAATAAAAGTTTAAAATATAAACGAATAAATGCCTATTGTCGACCATTGAAAAGGAAGAGCGTGGTCTCATGACAAAGATTGATGATTTGATTTGATTGATGTTTCAGGGTGCCTGCACCGCTATGGTCATTATTCCCCTTAGTGTACTGTAATAAATTATTTTTATGCCTGGAGGTGGAATTTCGGCGATGACCTACATGCGTGTCATTACGGGGGAATTCCTATTCCAAGCCTCTCTCCCGGCGAGGCACCTTCCCATTCCGCACAAGTTCCGGGCATGTTTAGTTCTCTTATTCTCCCCATTTGCTGCACAAAGTTTTAACTATTTTACATATTTTATAAATACAATTAAGAGATGTCGCTTAATGTTGTGTGATCATTACGCAAATAGGAGATGGTTATATCTTTTTTCAATTAAGGGATAGAATTTTATATTTATATTCTAAAAAATTGGATAAAATATATCAATGGCATGAGAAATACATTTCTTTGCACAGCACTGTTGCGTGGGATATTCGTGCTCAATATACACAGGAAACAACGTCACTCATATGGCGTTCCCCCATCTTTCTCATTTGTTAGCCGATGTGCTAACCATAGACTCCCTCCAGGTGTTTCTGAAAGAGGTGTTGTGCAGTAGTGCTGTGTTCGCGCAGTAGCCAGAACAGCCATTGCGCGTACTTCTCCGTTGCTCGATTAGCACTTCAATTCACAGTGCTACTATCGGAAGGTGCTTGCAAATTCCGACATGTTCGGTGAGTCATGGGGAGGCACTGTGAGCACGTCATGGCACGCTGCTTCACATGAACTTGTTTCTACCAAAAAAGGAGTGTTTGAAAGCAAAAGATTAGGAAAAATTCTTGAAGGGAAGTTTTGTGTTTCAGCTGATGCCAAAAATAATTTATATCCCGTTCATAATGAAGTGTTAGGATTGGATTTTGACCAACTCGCAGTGTAGAATATTAAAAAAACACTAAGCATTACGATAAGAGAAATAATCATTAAATATGACATACAAACCAATGCACCAAAACCAAATTGTAGAGTATGAAGCACATTAACCACTTGCTAACCATGAAACTAACTATAAACGAAATATACTAGAAGCACAACGGACAAAGGGGTTGGACAAGTATAATAGAGGGAAAACTCCAGAACGGCCACGTCAAATCAATTCATTAACGTCCATTTTTACGTGGAATAGGTTGAATTTCCGGTAAACTTCTAAATATTTTCACTTTTAAGCGGCCACCTGGCTTTGCGGAAGGCACATTGCGTAGATTTAGCTGTATTACACGGTTACCACCTGACGGATTGTTATTTTCATCCGTTATGTTACAAAAAGCAGTTCTCGGGTTTCTACGGTTTAGTCAGGATTTTCTTCGGACAGAACCCAATGGCGGATTACATAGAACAGTAATATCTTAAGTTGCTTATCTTGAGTGTTTTATATTACAATAAACGATTTTCATGAAGGATCAGAAATTTCCTGAAGGCGTAAATTGCACTTTAATTCTAGTTCAGAATTGAGTCTAAAAATTGTAGTTGGGAAGAAAGAAGAAGGGAGAAAAAGAATATGGTAAATACAGGGAAATGGATGCTTTCTATTTCTTGTTTAAGAGCGATCGCGTGAAGAACCTTTTGTTTTTATGTAGATTACGTTCAATAAAAATATATTAAATATTTAATCAATCATAACGAAAATCATGCAGTATTTCATAGTAATGCGTAGTAACTTCATTGGAAACAGCAAAATTATGCCAGATGTCCGTTTCTCATTTTCCTATACCCTCAATTAAGGGGCCATCTAAACCAACGGTTCATTTCTCTCTCCATTTTCTCTCCGGAACCATAAGTGGTGGCATAAAACAGGTTTCAATCTACTTTCCTGGGCAGTTATGAAATAATAAATGGTGATGTAAAGTATAAAAAGAGATACATTGTGTTTTGTCTCTTCCTTCTCCGCGACATTCACAATTCTAGTTCCCATTCAATGACCAAGTCACCAAGTCACATTCTGTGATCCCCATATCAATCTGAATGTTTGTATTTCCTTTGATCCGATGGGAAAGTGCTGGATAACCCTTGCATTGCTTCTGAACATTAAATGTTGTTTTTCGCAACATTTTCCATCACAGCAATGTTATTTTGTCTCTTTGGGTTTACAATTGCTTTCTGATAAGTATAAGGAAGAGCATAATATTATCTCATGCAAAGTTATTACCTCAAAATTCTGGAAACAATCACTTTTATTATTAATTCTGCTACTTGTGTAACAACAATTCAAACCTTTCCCGCGTTCAAGGTGGAGTACTTCTCTTTACACAATGTAAGTCATAAGTCAAATCAAGTCTTTTCCATAATCCGTAAAGGGGCAGTCAGGGTCTCAGCACAGTAGTATCCTAGGTTCCTAAACGCTCACCTGACCACGGACCCGCCATGTGTACGGCTGCTTAACTTCCATGACTCCACTGAGCTTGGTTAAGAAGTTGAGCTATTGACACAGGCTTGTCTTCGCCAAAGACTGAGCATTCCTCGGGAGGATTTTCATGAATTTGAACTTTGATCATTTATAGTCGTGTGTCTTAATACACACAATTCTGGTTCTTGGTTCAGCGTAAGAGCGACCTTCTAATTGAATCATTTTGGAGCATCCTCATTTATATCATATTTAGAATATCATAGGAGCATATCATATTTAGATACGTTCATTTTCACGCAATAATGCACTGACACTTATTTAACGTTTTGTGTTCATGCTATGAACTTTATTTCTCAAAATGAGGCGTCCTATATTTCAATTGTGAGGTAAAAATATTTAATCAATAGATAGTATATCTGAGGTAGTTTTAATATTTAGATTACAGATACATACATTTCAGATACACAAGTTCCCCAATGAGTTTGATTGTGCACTTCAATAAATATTTAATGTCCTCCACATTTGCTACACGCTCTTTCGTATTCGTGTACAAGTACCAGGTAATTATACTTTTCTAAAAACATGAAAATTCAATTGTGGTATGAATCACACAATACATAATTATTGTTTTGGCTGATATGGTTCATATAATCTCCTTTACGGCGCCATCTGTCTGAACGACATTTTCTCTCCGAATCCAAAGGTGACAGGCTTAACTATTCTGATAAACGTAATTGGACTTGTTGGATAACGACCCCTGAATTAGGAAGTAGATTCTTCCCTCCATCACCAGTGTAACAATTTATGAAGTAAAATGATGTAAAATGGAGTAGGTCACACACACACTCACACTCACACACACACACACACACACGTGTGTGTGTGTGCTGGGAATGATAAAAACTACATTAAGTGTTGAGAAACGAAACATCGGACAATTTCAGAACTGTCTCAATGGAAACTCACAGAAAACAGAAAGATCGAATTGGAGGTCATTGACGCAGAGGCTGTTTAGCTGACACAGAGACACAATATAGTATTTCAGAATACAATAAAAAATTCAATCTAACAATTCAAAAGAAAACTATGCGTTATTATAATTATTATCAAATAAATACTTAAAATAGACTGTCGTTCTCAAAGATACAAAATTCCCGTGTATTAGTTACATAAAAACCCTACTTCAAGCAGACACAGGTTAATATACTTCAAGTTCCATTTTTGAAACTCTTAACTAGTTTTGTAGTATTTAGCTATTTTTCTTTTTTGGAATAATGTATACACACTTCGACTTGATCTATTTAACATCCGTTCTAATGATTATTAATAGGAACAAGCATCAGAAATTGGTCTCATCAAAATCACACTAGCTGCAAACATGTGCCTAACAAGAAAAGATATTGAAAAAGAACATTTATCAGGATTAACAATATAGATTCTTTGATTTGAAGATGCGTGTCACTTAGAAACACTATATTCGAGTATAAGGGACCTGTCTGTGTTATATAGATTTATTCAGGCCGCGAAAAGTTTCTTTCTATACGAAGTAAGACATTATATTACGATGAAGCTCTGCCTAATTCCAATATTCTAGTACATATTGTTTGTCTATTTGATGGATATAAACAATCAATAGTCTGTGGCCCCTCTCCGATTGCAAATTCACTAAAATGCGAGCAAATACACTAAAAATGTACGCATAGCTAAAATTCTATTTTATTCATCATACTCCTCCCTTGCTTTCCTCTCACATTCCTCCCTCTCGTTATATTTTTCTTTCCTTTCCTTCATCAAGTGGCCACGACGGGGAGTACGTAATGTAATTTTGCTTTCCATGTTGAACTCTTTCTAACTGTACGTTTAACTGACAATGAAATCAAATCTATTAGTTATGCTATCCACTAAAGGAAGGTGAACGTATGCGCTTAATACGATCATTGTTTTGGTATCAGATCCACACATGGCACTCGGAGCTATTGGACTTTAAGCTCATACCTTCGCAGAAGTGCGGAGAACACAGACTTCACGGCCATGGCCACGTACAAGTGACGCAACGTTCGCGCCTGTTGAACGGGTCTACTGCATCCGTTTGTCACTCATTAGAGCATCGTGAATTCGCAGACTTCGAGGAATACTTTCTTCGAAAGTACACACTCATGCGCTGCCTGAACAACTATATAGGTTCCCTGTCCGTAGCACTTCAAGTTAGATTTAAACTAGAAACCAACAGCCACAGAGTGATATATTGTTTTGTGTGTATGAGCATCATCTGCAAGTCAACAGTAGAAACGATGGTAAGTAAATTTGAATGAGTGGAATAGTAGAAGTACTTGGGATGTAAAATAATCAAATGCGCATCCTAAATCTAGATAATTGACAGATTATTGCATAATTGTCAATCATCTCAATTTAATAGATTTTTCAAACTTGATAAGAAACGAAATCATTAAAAAATATTTTTATGAATGATGATTACATTTTGAAGAATTTTAAAAATATTTTAATTAATATAAGCAAATTCAAAACCTGTTTAAACTCTTAGCAAGAGATGAAAATTACGAACTTAACAAACAGAAAATATAAATAATTGTCGGCCTCCCTTTGTTTTATTTGTTAGTGATAGAATTGGCAGAATCAGTCCGAAATTCTTGTAATTATTCATTGATTCGCTGACGATCATTCTCGCCAGAGTCTCGGGTTGTTCTTCTTTAACATTAAAATCGAATAGCCATATCGGATGCGGATCGAATCTGGGTTCTGCGTGCACTCCTAATATAGAAAAGAGTCAGCTTATTTGGAAAGCTGCTTCTCGCCCGAGTGCGATAAAAGTGAACGCGAATTTCTTGCATCACGACGCAGCATGCACAGCGCATTCATTATCTTATTTGTGCTCAAGAGAAGACACAAACATTTCACAATATGCACATGCCAGCGGCCATTGTCTAGAAATGATATAAAAAGCTCACTTGATAATATGTGGACACTGATGATTAGGTATATTTAGGGTCAGGCAAGTCATAAATAACACATGATTATGTACTGTAAAAAACAGCGCTTCAACTATTCGTAAAAATGCAATTGCGAGTCCTTACGGAGGACAGTATGTTAAAATTAATGATTTATTTAATTTAACTAATAGTTACACATTACTAATTAACTATAACTAATTAAATTAATTAAATAACTAATTAACTATATTAAATGACATATTTTGCAACATATGCAATATGTTGATTTTCCTTCTGTTATGAGATTCATTTTTGCCTTTTTTATTCTAAAGGCTGTTTTCTTGATATTATATAGTAATAAATGTGGTCAATATTTGTATTTACGGCTTTTGAAATTAATTTTCTTGCCAAAAGTCGTTTACAGGTATAACTAAACATCACGTTCAACACTAAGAAAAGATGACGGATTTGTACCATTTATAAAAAAAATATCCACAGAACCCCCAAGAGTCCTACAGATGGATAGGAGATTTATGCAAGTCTGCATAAAAAATATTTGGACGAAAAATATAGAAGTTCGCAATTATGGTAAAGGAGGAGAAACACGCGAACGTGCAAGCCGCAGCATATTTTACGCGCAACACATGTTGCCATTCACATAATTCGACACAAAAATCAGTAGCGATGCATAGTATATCCTACAATCCAGGTTTTTGTGTTCGTAAATGTGTGCAATTTATTTTCTTAGTCATAATATACAAAAGTATATTTTTGGGCGTACTATTTCATTTTTGAAAGTACACCGACTCCTTTGCGAGGGTTGTCAGAAACATTCGGCGTTGGATTCCAGTTTAAACTATTTTCACTTATAAAACCATAATTTACAACGTGCAGACTGTTTGTATGGGTCTATTTAATTTTTAACCATAGAATCAATCGCTAATAATTTACCAACAAAATTAAAATGTGAGACAGGATTAGTTCATAAAGCTTCTCTCCATTACAGAAATGTATTCAAAACATGAATGTAATGAAATGAAATCGACACATTTGAATTTTTGGTCTTCATTCCCCATTAACTTTTCCTTTCCGTTTCGTTTCAGAATTCGCTTTTAATGATCATTGCCACGGCAACCGTAGTCAGCGCCCTGCCCTTTCCTCTGGCTACCGTTAGCCGCTACACCTCACCCGGGGAGATCGATTGGTACGAGGACGGCCCCGAAGACTTCGTGGCGACCGTGCAGATCGGCGGGGACGACTACGCCTGGGAAGCGCCTCCGTCGGACTCCGAGGGGCGCGAGGAGCAGCAGGCGCTGTACGAGGACGTCTGGAGCCCGGAGGAGGACGTGAACGGTGGGGCCGCGAGGAGGAGCGCGGCCGAGGACGAGCTGATGGCGGTCGCGGCGAGCGGCGCGCGGGGCTTCCACATGCGGCAGGGGGCGTGGCGGCGCGGCGTGCGCGCCTATGACCCGCACCACTGGAACCGCCTGCCGCGCGCGCACCACAGCCCGCACGCGGCCCAGGAGGCTGCCGCAGCGTCGGCTCGCACGCAGCAAGAAATCGCGGCGGATCCCGTGGACGACGCTTCTGAATAGAAAGGGACAGAACGTTGCCAGTCTTATTCCCGAATTCAGTTTCCCGGATGTTGTTTTACGGAATGAACTCATTTTCAAAGACCAATTTTCGTCCCGAAAACGAAAACGTGACCGTCAACGCACCTTTCAGGTCTTTCCTTGCCACTCAGGTTATTTTTCTTTCATCTCAACCAACTATATTGTAAAACTCACACTGCAAAAGTTCTTTAATGATCTTCCTAACCATGACAAGTAATTGTTTCCGTACATGTCGTTGGCTAATGCTTTCAATCCCATACATGAGTGATATACACTCTTCGCATTCTCAGAGACGAAGTATATGATATTCTTCCAGTCATCCATTACTTTGAATAGTATTATGTTGATGGTCATCCCACGAGAGACTAGGAAAATTACAAAAATGGAAATATTGTTTTATAATTTTTACTTGCCACTGCATACAATGTTTTGTGATTCATCTATTTTATACATAATTTTAAATGTTCTGAAACAAAAATAGGGGCAATAGATTCAGAAACATATTTTTGGGATATTTCTTCGGTGATTCCGTATTTCGTGAAAATGAATTCGGGATAATAATTTATGGTAACTGCGAGCGAAGTGTGCCTTTCATCATCTTTTTACGACTCTGGAAATCTGTTGGCAGTAAGTGGGTTAAATTACCCTTTAAATACGAGATATACTAGAGGAAAACCATTAATTAATAATGGTCTTCGATTGGAATCGATTTTTAAATGTCTACACTTACCACCAATTTTTTTATTTTCTGAATTTCTTCACTTCTTCATTTTTTATTTATTTATTTATTTTCTACAACAAAAGCATGATCGGACAAGATTTGATAACAACTAAAGTAGCAAGTAAGAACGATAATTTTCATTGTACTTAAAGATAATATTTACAGCTTAACATACATACATTCTTTCAGAGGTGCGATACGTCGACTCGTTGTGTAACAACGGGACACACAACGCATTTATGCAACGCAATAAGAAGCATTTATGCAATATTCGCCCTCTGTGTAAAAATTGCAATTCACATAGATATTTCTGTAGTAGAATCGATAATTCTGAGATTTGATCGGAATATTTGTATTTAAACTCATGATAATTTTCATAAAAACCATCTGTCATTACACATCTATTATCAATGTAACTCTAGTTATTTTAAAATGTTCTCAACTGCAATGCAGTAATGATAATTTTGTAAAAGTAATGCAGAAAATCAATTAGTAAGTTCTTGCCAGCCTGATTGTATTATACTCCATTCATATAAAAATATCTGCAAAAAAAGGAAACAGGCTACATCCGTGTCTTGGTAGTAGCACTTCCAGTATTGTCACAAATTAAGTGCCTAGTATAAATTGATGGCAAATTTAGATCTAGAATTTTATAGACGTTTTCTCATGAATTGGGTTTTTCCAATTGTGAATGTTTTTAAGAAATATTTTATTAAACTGAAACAAACCATGACATAGTACATGAGTGGTCTCGTTACGATGTAGCATAGTCAATGTTTGGAAATCAAGATATTTGCGCCCTTATTTATTTTTATTTATGTAATGTCAAAATACAGTTAAAACTGTATAAGCAGTATGAAGGAAAAGTACAATTCGTCTATGTTCTCTATCGTATTATGAAAATATAAATAGTATACTTATTTATAGATTTGCTACTACATCACTCATGTACTAACTGTGATCATTATCTATAGTTTTAACTTTACTTATGCACATTGTATTTATTGCTTTTGTTTACTAAAGAATTCGAATAAAGTTATTTCAATTGAAGAAACTTCAATTTTGGTTGTTTACTAACCGTTTAGGTATCCTTGATCTATTCCATTTTATTTTTCAGCTGTGATTCCCCATCCAAATATTTGAAGAGAGCTACAGCGCCTCAGTGCGAAGATTCGCGGGACTTAGTCGATGTTTTTACAAGAGTATTTGGCACTTGGCTCTAATGTATCATGAATTCCGCGGGAAGAAGTGCACCCAGAACCGCAAATCTCGCATGTATTTCCAGTGTGCAAACACAGCCAATGCCGAAGGTACAGTTCTGTATGTTCTGGTCGCACAAAATCAATTATCTAAGCAAAAAGAAATACAGAAAAGCAAATAAAGTATATAAGAAAAAAACTGAAATGAACTTTAAGGGAAACCAGTAAAGTCTTGTATTTAAAAGCGCATGTGGTTTAAAACAAAAGAATATTGAATTTAAGGAATCTATGTATTTTTTCAAAGACAACTTGTGGGTGCAATATGTACAAATAATTCTAATCACATTCTTTTCTCGTGAATTCGTAAGTGAATTTGCATAATGCTTCAAATTAATTATTATAATACATTATACTAGATTTAATTAACACAAGCATTAAACTACATATCAGGAAATCTACAAGTCTAAGAGTAATCAGGAGTAACAATCTGTAACCGACCATTCGACGCTGTCTCCACCAGAGAAGTCATACCAGGAAATTATCCTCGGTATTTGACTCTAGTTTCTCTCGTGGAAGCAGAATAGTCTGGCAGATATCCCTTTCTCTAGAACAGGGGTCCACTCTGCCCCGTCTCTGACACTTATTCGTGATATCGCTTTCACTTCTACCCTACACCCACACGCCATCAACCTCGGAACCTTAAGGAAGAGAGAGAGAGAGAGAGCAGATTCGAAACCAAAGAAAGATTTTATACTTCCAATAAATTAGGTCGATTAATCTTTTTATTGATAGATCGAGAAACCGTAGCAGGATAATCGTTATATTGCTTCCGATTTCACTACAGAATATTTGAAATGGCGAATTTACAAAAAGTGAAGTACTACGTAGAATTAAAAATGATACTATTTATCGCAATCCAAATAACGAATCAACTGCCAGTAATAACGAGATTATGCCAGAGGATCGTGATCAATCCAGTTTTCCAGGGTACGAGGAGGAATTTGTAGCTAGAGTTGGATGAAAATTCAATCGTAAGAGTTGAAAATTAATCGGTTCGAAAAACGTAAACTATTAAATTATATTACGTTAATTTGAAATTAAACAACATAAAATTGGAGGTAGAATAAGTTTTAACTAGAGATTTAAATAAATTAACGTTACATTTGATCAGTTATTACTATTCCCAAGCATTTATTCAAATAGAACAGAACTAGTTTTTTTATGTTACTTCTTCAGTTGTTTTTTTCTTCATATTCTCAAAAAGATTATTAGAATTGTGACGAAGTGAGCTTAGAAGGTACAGGACTTGTATTTCTTTTGAAGTGTAAGCCCAAATTTCTTGTGATTAAACAACTAGTTCCAGTTACAAATAAAGACTGTTTCAACATTAGACATCTGTATTTTCAAATCAAAAAGAGATATACCTGTTCAGTGGGGCAACCAAAGGTGTCGGCTTTAGCCCCTTCCCTTTCCCCGAAGCCGATGACACTTACTCACAAATATGGTTTTTATTGTTGGTTTTTTTTATTCTAACATAGCGAAAGTCCTTCAATATCTCAATTAAGAACGTTATAAATAAGTATAAATCAGAATACCAAAAATGGATTTTGAATTCATAATTTATGAAAAATTCTTTTTAAGAAGCATTGAGTCGGCTGGACTCAGCAGCTGTAACCCTCCCGGATTTTTTGAAATACTGAAAATCCCTGGTAGCGTCTCTTCAAAGTTTTAGTACATAAATTGGTAGCCTGCTACCCAATTCAAAGCACGGCGGGCCCTAATTTATTTACCGAACGATAAAATGTGTCACCTTTCAAATTAATATTTTGAAAAAATGTTAATAATTCGTATAAAATTTAATATTCGAATGTTTCATTTGGATAACTAGAAGCCAAAATTTTATTGCACAACTATTACAGCACTAGCGACTTCAAATTTTACTTTGAAAGAAATATAAACTGCCACTAAACATACATAAACTTTGATGAACTAACGGAAGTGACCTAATAACCTTTAGCACAAATGAATTTCATTATGCGAATTATATAAAGCACCACGGATCAAGTGTGTCAATGATAATAATACCTATTATTATTAATACTTTTGTAAATGACAGTTGGTTTTAACAATATTTGTGGTATCAATTTGCTCTAGCGTTACATTATTTTACAGTGATTTTGAAGAGAAACGTTTAAAGGTTAATGGAAGAAAAAGGAGGTGATATTTCCAAGAAAATGCTTTTAATTGGTTAATTCCAATTTCGGATAATTCGAGTTTTTTAGTCCTTTTGTGATAACAAATTAATGCGTTCACTGAACATAATGTGTAAACATTTAAAGAACTAACATCCTCCATTTGGCCCTTTTCTTCATCTCATACTCATCTTCAAAAAATATAGCTTTTATTGAAATTATATGACCACAATAATGTTTGAAAGTAAGAAGAAACCAATTCGACAATCATCGTTAAACAGCGAGAACCTCACGATTTCATGGCACTAACTACAGCAGACTAAACTGTTGCGGTCGTGTCCTCCGCATTGCCCACAATTTCCAACAAATTCAGCGTGAAAAAGATCCATTGTCTCGGTTCGGAACCAAAAAGGCAAAAAGCTTACCGCAAGGATATTTGCGTTAACAGCGGGGACCTGCCATCGGAATTAACTCTCAGTGAATGGGAACGTTATACAACTTTAAGAGACTCATCCTCTCTCTGAACAACTGGAAACTAAATGCTCCTCCTATCGTTCTCCTTTCACCTTTTTCTTTCTATGAGATCCTTTCGCTTTCCTTCCATTTATTACTCGAGTTCCTTCAGAAATGTTTTCCATAGTGCTTCTGAGAGTCGAAAAGTATAGTCCATGCCATATTATACCATATCATGATTCTACCATATCATTATAGCTCTCGCTGCGACTAAAGATATTTTGAGTCGGTTGGTTATAAAGTCTACTCCGGGTTGCAACCAGCTTCCTAAGGAGCAGAACAGGGCTGTCGGTGCCTCTACAATACTTTGTGCAAACTGTGGGCTGTTAAAGCAATGTCTTGCACTTTCCAGTCTTTTGAATGACATGAAAGTTTAGCCAAGTTCTTACACAAAGTTTGCGGAACACATTCCAGAGCTCCGATAACTAGCGGACGACCTGTGTGCTTTTGCGCTGATCCCGATTTCCAAACTCTTGTACTTAAGACGTTTCTCTGTCTCCTGGGTTATTGGGTTACACTTTTTGATCACACGACAGAGCAATATCAACAAGTAGACGTGATTTTTTCTCCTAATCCCGAATAACATCCGGTTTGTTGGTCGCTATCGTGCGATCAGTTTGAATTTGTTCATCGTACAGTATTGTACGAAGTCCAACAGGCGTCACCAGTTTTGGTGGTTGTTTGTATTCAATATATGAACATATTCAGTTTTATGTGTCAGATTTAGTCTTAAAATAATTGTTTTTTACTGCTGAACGCGTGC